GAGCCGGTGAGATTTGAACCGCCGAACTGCAGATAGCAGTCAGCTGAAGTGGCCTGCAGTACTGCACTCTAACCACTGCGCCACCTCGGCTCAATGGCCCTGAGGACATCCAATAAGACCTCGGGGGGGTTAAGAGGAGGACAGATGCGGACAGATGCAAGAGAAGGGGATGCACAAAGATGAAATGGGAGGTTCCTTCTCATCGCTTTCAGAGAGAGAGAGAGGGAAGCATGAGAAGAGCTTTGGTGGATTAAACTGAAAGGCTCTCCCTCATCAGGGATGACTGAAACTACGGCCAAACTGCGCTCCTTTGCAGCTGGCTCTGAAAATGGAGCCCCTCCTGAACTGTGGGGACTGGCTGATCCACTCCACCCCCCACCCCCCGGCTGTGTAATCCCTCTCTCATGAAAAGTACATTCCAGCCATTGAGCTGCCACGCCACGCCATGGATCATAGCCAGGGCTTCGTGTGAGATCCCTTCGGAGAGCGGTCAGCGCCCCCGGAGCAGCCATGAGGGTTGCAATCCTCTTGGGGCTGGCTGGGTGCCACTGCCCTGTCGTTTCGAACAATCCTGGCTAGGACCCTGCAGTCAAAGAAAGAAGGAAGCCCCCCGCCCCCACCCCAGCCTTTGCAGGAGCCACTGCTCTGCCCTCCTGCCCCGCCATCTGAGAGAAGTTGGGAAGCTCTTCAAAAACATCCTTTCCGTTCTAATCTGGAAGAGCCAATTTCTAAACTTGGGGCAACTATATTCTGAGATAATAGCGGCTTCAGTTTGGCTGCCTTGCTCTGATCGGCTGGGGAAAGGAAGTTTTAAAACAAGACCTTTCCATGCAGATGAAAGATTCTGGGTGCCATTCAAAGGGGCTTCAAGACCGAGGCTCAAGGAGCAATCCTTTCTGATCAGAGGCAGGGCCAGGTGTTCCGGAATCTGCCTGTCCACAGAGAGCCTCATGCGCGAATCAAAAGTTAGCTGTGAGCAGGGATGGCGGTGAGCGGTGCTACCGTTCTGGAATGATGTTTCTATGTCTGCAGAGATGAGCAGATGGTTCTGTGAACTGCAGTTCTAGGGTATGTTGGAATGGGGAGGGGGGAAAGGGAGGGCACCATATAGGGTATGTTATTGCCACAGCCGAAAGATAATTTGGGAGGCTCCTACATGGCACGTTGCTTGCTCCTTCAGATTCTCCGTAAAAACCGTATTTGCTTCAAACGCAGGAGAAATGCGTTTGCAGAGCCAGTGGCTTAGGCAGTTAGGAATTGGCTGAGGTGGGGGGGGGGCAGTTTAATTCTAGAAGTGTGGGGGAAGGGAGACAGTGACCCTCATACATGCCTAAGGACCAGGAAGCCCTGCTTTTCTATTACGATGTGGCTGCTGACGGCCAGGGAGCAGATGGGCAGAAACGGGCTGCTAAGAGCTTGGAGAGGGGCTTGCCTGGCCGAGGCCTCTGGATAAACTCAGGGAAAGAAGAGAGAGAAGGAGACCTAAACTGGAGCAGCCTCTTTACCGTAGGCTGCTGGCCTTGCCATATGATCCTTTTATCAGATCCATCCTTTCATCCGTGCCGTCTCCCCAAAAGATCTGCAGAGGCAACCCCCGCGTCATTCGCCCAGATGGTCTCAGGATGCTTTTTGCCAGCATCGCCAGATCAAAGAGGAATCAAACTCATCTATGTAGGTCAGCTTGCAAAGGGAGCCCTGGGCAGCTCTTGACCAGGCCTGTCAGGACAGGAGGCAATCCTTGGACGTTGGCAGGATTACTGCAGGATCTCTGGGCGTGGGTAGGATCTCCTAACCGAGGGCCCATTTATTAAAGGGAGACCAAGGAACACCTAGAAAAGCAGCAATTCTTCGCTCGGGTTCTCCCTAGTTGTCTGTCTGTGCAGAGAGATTTATTTGATGAGGAGGGGGGATATTTTGGGGATGATTCTCCCTTTCCACCTTTGTTTACAGCGAGCACTGCATCGCTCTGTCTCGGCCTGTGGGACCAGCAGAGGGAAAACGGCTCTGGTTTCTCTGCCTGGCAACTATTAGTAGTCCAGGGAAGGCCACGGAGCCAGTGCATGCTAATAACAGCCAGCAGAAAAAGGCTGTAGCACAGTTGCACCATCGCTCACTATCGCTTTGAATGCGGAACAAAACTTTTGTTGTGTCGGCGGGGGAGAAGAAGAAAGTTGCTCTTTCTCTGACCTTGATTATGAAAGCGGGTATATGTCAGTCTTGCAATGCGAATGGATCGGCAGTATAAAGTCCTTGTAGAAAGGGATCAGAGCTCAGGAGGAAGGTAGAAGAGGCTTGGGAAGAACGGGAGAGGCAAAAACGCATGTCAGCAAGCTGGGAAGCGAAAGGAACTTGGACGTATCCAAGGACCAAGCTGTCCAGGACCAGGCCTGACTCCAAAACATTCTAGCAAGACCGAGGCAGTAGGAATCAGGGAGCCCACAAGCCGTGCTGGGACCTGAGATACTCAGCTAACCATTCTCCCTTTCTTTCTTTCTTTCTTTCTTTCTTTCTTTCTTTCTTTCTTTCTTTCTTTCTTTCTTTCTTTCTTTCT